ATATATATATACTAGTTTCTCGCCACGTGCGTTGCACATGTATGATAGCAATATTATTCAAATAAAATTTGAGTAAATAATTTTATACATGAAATAATACGATACAGGTTTATATGAATGATAAATAGATCGTCATATAGTGACTTATTTGTTGAAATCTAAATGATCAGATACACCTTGAATATGAAGAATTAATGTTTAATTAGATATATTGGAGTTCTTTGACTTGTTTTAACTTTATGGGTTACAAACATGTAATGAAACGTGTTTCACCTAACATTTTCTTATACACGAAATTTTTAGTGTATCTTCCTCTCAATTATTTCGGTTGCCTTGTGTTGGTAAAAATACAAAAAATTACAGTGGAAAAATAAGATAAACAAAAATAATGAATATTCTTCAGGCTGAGGCGCAGATATTTCGCTCTTTTTTATAAGGAGATTCAAGCCCACTAATCTTCACTGGTCCAGTTGTAACACTTTTGACGGCAATGTTTGTAACACTTTTGACAGCAATGTGTTGGAATCCAACATATTATGCTAGAACTTTTCATATTTCAACAAAATAATGACTATTTTTCAATAACCTTGCAAATGCTAGCTGTTTTTTTAATTTCCAGTCAGAAAACTGGCTAGCCCCTGCTTTTTTAACACTTTTAACTTGTCCTCTCTAGGATACAATATGTGACCCATCATATTACTCAAATAAACTCTGAACAAGTTGTTGAGTCCAAAAGTCACCAATAAACACCTTTCTTCAGCAAAATAATATTTTCTTTTGTAATGAATAAATTGGAGACTTAGATTTTCATATTCTCTCATTTCACTTTTTTACTATACCAACTTAATTTTTTTATGCACACTACAATACTTTCACATACCCAAACACGATGAATATAATAAATAAGAAGATAGTGAATTAATAAAATTATAGAAGATGGGTTGGATAACTACAAAATTTAAGATAATTAGTAGTAGTTCATGGTATTGGCATTTGTATGAGTTATACCATGGAATAGTGACCACTTTTCTTCGTAATTTATAATCATAACATGACAATAAATAATGCACTTTAATACTATAATTTTAATAATCAAATGCACATAATCCAACACTCTGTTATGACCAAGACTCTTATTTATTATCAATATTGATATCTCTGTTAAAAGCGCAAGTCAAAATTGGTCATATATTTGACCATGTGCTTTATTTATCATCATTACATGATATAAACATACATGAAATTATTTTCGGACGAATTTTAAGAATATCCTTTTTTTAGGGGAAAAAGTTAAATTTTTATATATGATATCCAATATGAGTCAAGAACCAATATCTTATATTAGAAGTACCAAGCACATGTTACATACACAGAAGACATTTCAGTCTTTTATTAGAAGTACCAAGCAATTAATATTTCATACACACAAAACACTCCAATCTTTTATTTAATACCAATGCAGTTACTTGTGAGCTCGCATATGATGGTCTAAAAGCCAAATAAATACCTTACATTTATGATCAAAGAGTCCATTATAACAACGTTAGAGGCTAAAATTTACATATTAATTTGAACTCCACTTTAGGCCACTCTCTTCATTTGAAAAGCACATATTGGCAGAAAGTCTTAATTCATCGTCCACTAATCCAGATAGATAGTTAACGTTAACATATGTTTTTCCTTGCTTTGTGATTTTCTCAATGTTGATTTTAATAAACTAAATACGCACCACGGCATCAGGCCTGATGATTTGGTGTTTTTTCTTTAAAGAGATTACTAAAATTACAGTGCAAGAGAAGGGGGGAAAAAAGCAAAATAACTGGAGTAAAGGGAATGGTGCAGTTGTAACAAAACTGAAATCATGAAAGTAAATTTCATTTGATTCAATGAGAATAAAGCACAATAGTAAGATGAAATAATACAGCCAATAGCTTTAGTTTTAAATAGTCTTATTATAGAATAAACTGTAATTTTCTTTGAAATTAAATTTTTAGCAGTTTGATATTACCGATCAGAAAAGGAGTGATCCTACATACAATAACCAAAACAATTCTTTAAATTGGGAAAAAAACCATAAATAGAAATGCAAATAGTTCAAACAAATTGAACAACGAGAACTTGGCCAAAACAGAGAAGATATTTCATAATGAAGCTTTTCATTATAAAATGACTTTATCCTTATATTGCACTACTCATTACTGAAGTTGTTGGTGATATATGAAACCAACATAAAATTCATCTCATTGATTTCTTAGAAATCTAAATTAAGAGTACCCTAATAAAAACAATCTTGGATTTCAAAGAAACTTTAAAATAAAAAATATATATATCTTTTTAGAAAACACATCAAGCTTTACTCTCCAGATTAGTGGCACAAACTAAAAATTATCAAATATCGGGTCATCAAAAGTCAAATTAGACATTATTCTTTTCAAGAAATAAGATTATCAAGACTTTATGGAACCCATAAAACATCTATCAAATCCACTAAGGTTTCAGTTCTATGATCTTAAAAAAATGTTTAGAACAAATTTGGCACCAAATAACCTCTGAATAAGGACACCTAAAGAGGGTGATTATCAATGCAGGTAGAAATTTTTAACAAGCACAAACAGACATAGTTGTTGGTGGATTATGTTTAACTTAATACATACCAGATAAACCAGAAGCGAAAATTAAAGTAAAACATTTATAAAGGATTATAGACTCATTCTTAGTACAATAAAGACATAAAATTGTGCATGCAATTCAAGATTCATTATTATATTATGTCTTGGTATTTTATTTCTTTTTCTAAGCGTTGTTCTCTTCTCAATTGACTCTCTAGATTATCATTCTAAAATGTTCCATAAAAATTTGCCCCCCTTATTTTCTATTGCATCTGTTAAGAATAACCTGAAAAGGACGTGAAGAGAATGAAAAGAATTACCAGATTCCTCGTATGCCTAAAAGAATGAACCACGAAATAGCCAATTAGAGCGCATAGAAGAGAAGTACCGCGTCTGTGCTACCAAACCTCTAACTCCAAAAGCCAAATGTGATTAACGAAATACCATCGTTGTGTAATGCCCCGAGAGCAACTCTCTGCTGGAGCATATTAGCAAGTTTAAAAGGCATGGTTTTCTTCAAAATAGGTTATGAAACGTTGGCTTCTATTCGTATGTGTTTGCGTCGTTTTCTTCTAACCAGGTTATGAAGCGTCGACTTCTATTCATATGCGTTAGGTTGCTTTTTAAGAATTAAATAGGTATTTATATTACTAAGAAGGGCAATATGATAATTTAACTTTACACTAAGGAGCTTCCCACTTTTAATATAGAATATATATATATACACAACAACAACAACTACCCAGTAAAATCCCACCAGGTGGGGTTTGGGGAGGGTAATGTGTACGCAGACATTACCCCTACCCGATAGGGCAGAGAAGCTGTTTCCGATAGACCCTCGGCTCAGACAAAAAGAAAACAAGAAAAGAAAAGACAACTCATTAGTAACTCCAGTAGCAACCGTAATAGTAATGAAAGCATAACAACCAAGAGATGAAAGACATGCAATAACAGTAACCAGTATCTAAGGCCCAGGGCCAAGATAAACAGCAAGTACAGAGTGTATTCAGCCTAAACTGCAAGCTATCTAAGGTCTACCCTAATCCAGCCCCGCCTCACCCCCGGAACGAAGTAAGGAAAGAACTACTACCCCCTAGCCTACAACCCTTATGCTAGACCGCCAGACCTTTCTATCAAGGGCCATGTCCTCGGAAATCCGCAGACGTACCATGTCCTGCCTGATCACCTCCCCCCAATACCTCTTAGGCCTCCCTCTACCTCTCCTCGTACCTACTACTGCCAACCGCTCGCACCTCCTTACTGGCGCATCAAGGCTTCTCCTTTGCACGTACCCGAACCATCTGAGCCTTGCTTCCCGCATCTTGTCATCCACAGGGGCCACACCCACCTTCTTCCGAATATCTTCATATATATATATATATATATATATATATATTCAAGTGAGGTCGGGATGTAAAACACAAAAGATTAGCAAAGTCAAAATGAAATCATGCTAAACCCTTGCGTAAGTTGCAAAAACTAGCGTCTAATGATCATACTTTTTATTTAATTAATTAGATGTTAGTAATACTTAGACGCCCAAGAAACTTAACACTGTAGTTCTTAACTATTACTCCATCTATTATTTAACGTAAACTCAATACATTCTCCAACACTTAATCTTTCAAGCCTAAATTATTGGACAACGAAACTATCACAACAAATTAATCTATTTAGGATGGTGGCTTTCACGATGATTATCATAAAATAAAATCTTAGTTTCCATGAACTCTTCAAAGACCAAATTTGTTTATCCTCTTATGTAGTGGCTGACAAAGCCATTATTAATATTTTTTCTTTTATCGGTTTTTTATTCATGATTATCGTCTTTGAAACAAGTGCACGTCCTATTTATTCGCATTATGATTAGCACATGATGATGAACTAATTAACTCGCTTTACAATATCCTAGTTTACGATTAATTATCTCTTCGTTGAATATACACGCTAATGGAAAACGAAGCATCTCGAGTTGCAATGCCGCCTCCTAACACAGGGACGCTGATAACCATTCTCACCATCGATGGGGGAGGAATTAGAGGAATCATTCCAGGGGTTATCCTTTCATATCTTGAATCACAACTTCAGGTAATTAAGCAAATTAACTAAATAACAAATATGAAATATTCTGAACCCATAATAACTTTTAAAGAGTCATATGGCTTCAATAATAAAAACCTTAAAGCTTTGTCTCTTATTGTATTCATTTTGTTTGCAGGAGTTGGACGGTAAAGATGCAAGAATCGCGGATTATTTTGACTTGATTGCAGGAACAAGCACTGGTGGCCTTGTAACAGCAATGTTAGCTGCACCAAACAAAGATAAACGCCCTTTATATGCTGCCAAAGATATTACTCCGTTTTATCTTGAGCACTCACCCAAAATATTTCCCCAGATCGGGTAATTGCATCAGAGAATACATTTGTCCGTTTTCGTTGCCTTAATGGAATGCTTTCACGAACGGATACTAGGTTCATAATCCGCTTGGTACCAGGCTAAATATGAACATATCTTGATTTTTGTTTATTCTTGCAGTGGACCATTAGCGGGGATCATAAATCTAACCAAAGCAATGGGAGGACCTAAATATGACGGGAAGAATCTTCACAAACTTATAAAAGGTATCTTAGGAGGTACCAGGTTGCATGATACATTAACTGCCGTCGTAATTCCAACTTTTGACATCCAGAAACTTCAGCCAGTTATCTTCAGCTCATATGAGGTACGCCGCCTTGTATACCTCGATTCAATTAATCCTCCTTTTGTTTCTTTTTGTATGTGATTTTATTAGGTAATTTCATACACTGATGGTGTACAAGAATTTTTTACCCTATCAAATCACAGATAATTAACTAGTATATTAAAAATGAGGTAGTTGACGTGCTATAACAAGTCAAAATACAACGTTAGTTTTTTTTTTTAAGTGTAAGTGTACCTAAGTTGAGTACTTAACTATTTTAGCCCTCTTGTAGGCAATCTTGAAACCTGATTTGGATGCAGAACTGGCGGACATTTGCATTAGTACCTCGGCAGCGCCAACTTTTCTACCTGCATATGGTTTCAAGAACAAGGATGCTCAAGATAATGAACGAGAATTCAACCTAATTGATGGTGGTGTCGCTGCTAATAACCCAGTAAGTATATAAGATCGATGACATAGTAAATAGAATTCTTGGATCAGTATTTTAGTGTAGAAATTTGATAATAATTGACTCTTTGGTTGATGTATGTGATGAATTTTAGACTTTGGTCGCAATTGGTGAGGTGACCAAGCAAATATTGATGCAGCACGTAGACTTATTCCCTATTAAGCCAATGGATTATGGTCGTTTTCTGGTAATATCACTTGGGACAGGCAATGCAAAGAACGAGCACAAATACAATGCCCAAATGGCTGCCAAGTGGGGATTACTTAGCTGGCTATTAAATAACAACTCTACACCACTTATAGATGCTTTTAATCAAGCAAGCGCTGATATGGTTGATTTTCACAACTTTGTGGTTTTCAAAGCTCTTCACTCCGACGACAAGTACCTTCGTATCCAGGTAAACCTGAGCCTTCGGTTTAACTTTGATCAGCAGCATCTCTACTCTATTATATATATCATGTGTAGGGGTGGCAAAATGGTTCAAACAAAACAGTTAACCACTCATAATATCCGCTAAAAAATGGGTTGGATAATGAACTTTTTAAAAACGGGTCAAATATGGATAAGAACCATATTATCCATTTAGAAAATGGATAACCAATGAGTAACCAATGGATAACCAATGGTCTAACTTTTACATTTGTAAAGCCTCAAATTGGGGTTCCTCAAGTTAGGGAGACTAAGAATTCTCCCAAAATTGATCATATACAAGAAGTCATGAATAATATGGGTAACCCATATTATCCGCCGGTTAACCCGTTTTTTATCCGTATTAAATATGGGTCGGGTCGGATAATTAATCCATTTTTCATTACCCATTTTCGACCCGAACCATATCCGACCCGCCCCGCCCGTTTGCCACTCCTAATCATGTGTGGTCGCGCGCTATAATTTGTTATCATTTGCTATATAGTATGGGACTACCATAACTTTTAATTTACTTGATACAACATTTGTGTAATACCAGGATGACACCTTGACGGGGAACTTGGCCTCAGTTGACATAGCCACAAAGGAAAACTTACAAGGCCTCGTCAAGGTAGGAGAACATCTGCTGGAAAAACCAGTTTCAAAGATTAACTTGGACAAAGGAGTTTATGAAGCAGTTGAAAATGGAGGAACCAACAAGGAAGCTCTTCAGAGGTACACGCACAGGGGAATGGATACATGCCTGCCATTTACAGTTGAATGGTTGAATACACACACACACATATAAAATTTACAAGAAATAAGTGCTGATGAAATACTAATTAGTGCCCCTTGTGTCGTTTTAAAACCTTGCAGGTTTGCAAAGATACTATCGGACGAGAGAAAATTACGCGAGTCCAAAGCCAGTAGCCGGTTGGTATAGAATGCCATTGTACTGTCATCCTGTTTATTGCTACAGTCCACAGCGTGAATATCTTATGTATTTCAGTTCAATAACGTTCTTACTGTGCCATTCCTTCTGTTCCTTGGTGGAATTAAAGCTTACATTCCTTTAGTAGCATATCATTCTACATCAGCCAATATCGCAAGAGGGCAATCCTACAAATACATGTGTCATCATTTATTTACTTGAATTTTAATACCTATGTTTCTCCTCAATTCGGGAACTATTGACTAAACTCCGAAAGCAAAGATAACTAAACTTGATATAGATACAAAGTACAAACAAATATTGCAACAGTAAACGCACGATAAAAAGAAGTAATCGATAAGATCCTGTAATTTAGAGCATTTCATCGGAACACTAAGAGATTCAACTTCTTGATCACCTGGATCGCTCCGCCCAAGTAAATATGGCGACAGACGCAATTTAAGCTCATTTATGGACGGGTATTTACAGAGAACTTCGCATAACCAATGTGCCTCTCATCAACCAATTTCAATTTTCAAACTTGACGTGGAAAGGTTACATATAAAGACATCCCCTTTCCCCTTCTTTTTCCCCCCTTTTATAAGTTATTACATCCCCTTTCAGCCAGTAATAAGCCTCACAGGTAAGAATTTATGGTACAATAAAATAAACGTAACAAATAAACGAATATCACTCCACTATAATCTAGGAACTACGCGAATATCTGCTGAATGACCGTCTCCGCATTACCGTTGTATTGTGCAAGGAGATGAATTGCATCTGCTCTGGGCAATGCCAGAAATTCCTACACCAAATATTCATAAATAAGTAACAGTTGCACCGAAAACCTGCTAAAATGGCACGTAATGAGAACACCTAGAAAATTAACATAATCTGCTGATTCAAGCAGCAAACGGCGACAGGGGGAGATACACATCAGTAAAATAACATCAACAACAAAGTCTTCTACAACAGATCCATCGAGATGCAATAACAAGGTTAAAGTTAGAACCAAGCTCGTAAACCAGAACAAAACTCACCATAACTTTTAGTATTGCACTTTCATCACATCCAACATCTCTGGCTGATGACTGGGTTGGACTCCCATCTTCTTGTTTCCTATTATTTGAGGAACCAGTAACTTGAGATGATCCATCGCCACTCATGTCAACATCCAATTTGGAAGCAGCATCTATAATCAAGTTGCCACCAAATTCTTTCAGGGCGTCGATCCGTAAGAGTCCTTCAAACCGATCTTTACACATTTGAAGTTTGAACCACTCACTGTGTGTATACAGTGTGGCCCTTATAATCTTCATAAGCTGGGGTTCTTCAATACCGAGCCTCCTAGCAATAGCAACCTTTGCATGCCAAACAATTGTCACAGTAAATCAGGTGAGCCATGACACAAAAACCACATCCCCCCCC